TTTATATATATATATTTTTTGAGACAGAGTCTTGCACTGTCGCCCAGGCTGGAGTGCAGTGGTGTAATCTCAGCTCACTGCAACTTCCACCTCCTGGGTTCAAGTGATTCTCCCACCTCAGCCTCCTGAGTAACTGGGACTACAAGCATGCGCCACCATGCCTGGCTAATTTTTATATTTTTAGTAGAGACAGCATTTTGTCATGTTGGCCAGGCTGATCTCGAACTCCTGACCTCAAGAGATTTGCCCGCTTTGGCCTCCCGAAGTGCTGGGATTATAGGTGTGAGCCACTGTGCTCACCCTGCATATTGGTATTTTTATGAAAACTTACAGTTTTTACAGGATAGTAAATAACTTTCAAAACCCAAACACTGTAGAGCAAACAAAAGTTTTCAGGCCAGGAGTGATGGCTCACACCTGTAATCCCAGCATCTTGGGAGACCAAGGCAGGTGGATCGCTTTGAACCCAGGAGTTAGAGACCAGCCTGGGCAACGTGGTGAAACCCAGTTTCTATGAAAAAAACAAAAATCAGCCAGGTGTGGTGGTGTGTGCCTGCAGTCCCAGCTACTCAGGAGGCTGAGGTAGGAGGATTACCTAAGCCTGCGAGGTTGAGGCTGCAGTGAGCTGTGACTGTGCCTCTGCACCCCAGCCTGGGTGGCCAAGTGAGACCTTGTCTCAAAAAAATTTTTTTTCATGGGCCAGATATGGTCTGTTGCAGGTGGTGCCTACTTTTTTGTTGTTGTTGTTGTTGAGACGGAGTCTTGCTCTGTCACCCAGGCTGGAGGGCAGTGGCACAATCTTGGCTCACTGCAACCTCCCGGGTTCAAGTGATTCTCCTGTCTCAGCCTCCTGAGTAGCTGGGATTACAGGCGCATGCTGCCAGGCCTGGCTAATTTTTTGTATTTTAGTAGAGATGGGGTTTCACCATGTTGCCCAGGCTGTTCTCGAACTCTTGAGCTCAGGCAACCTGCCCGCCTTGGCCTCCCAAAGTGACTATTTAAGGTATTCTAAGATTTGGTGAAAAGGTTCATGTTCTACTTAGCTGCACTGTCCATGCTTTTTACAACTTGGGTGAAATTCTCTCTCAACTTTTCTTTCTTTTGGTGGGGGAGACAGGGTCCCATTCCACTGGCCAGGCTAGAGTGCAGTGGCATAATCATAGCTCAATGCAGCCTCAAGCCCTGGGGACCTTCAGTATTTATTGTTCTGAACCACAGTAACAAAACTCCTTAACCTGGCTCTCAAAGCTTCTTGTTGAATGACCTCACCTTCTCCTTCAGTTCATCCCCAAAGAGAACTGGGGTGATAACCAAACTGTTCTATTCTCCCAAGGAACCTTGACATATATTGAAATATCTTTTCTTCCCTCTATTTTTATGGTTATCTACTGATTATCAAAAATCTAATTTAAATCTTACTTTCTTTGAGAATCCCACTCCACCACAGTAAATTTTCTTTGGTGTCCAACAAATCATAAACCAGTAGTCATGCTCACAAGAAACATTAGGATAATCCAATTCATTTGCTGCTTCAGCTAATGTTTAAAAAGTACTTTTTAAGTTTTATTTTGCAGTCAGTAGGTTTTTAAAAATTTATTTTAATTAATTAATATTTTTAAGAGACAGGGTCCTGCTGTCACCCAGGCTAAAGTGCAGTGGCACCATCTCACCTCAGTGCAGCCTCGAACTCCTGGGCTCAAGAGATCCTCCCTCAGCTTCCCAAGTTCTTTAGAGAATTTTTAAAAATTAACCCTCACAAAGCATTGCCTGACTCTCTAAGTTTATAAGGACACTGTGCTTCTCCACATTATGCCTAAAAAGGCATACATTAAGGGTGACAAACTCAAAGGCCTGCGGAGGCCAGACAGGTAACACAAACAGTTCACTGTAAGAGAACTGGAAGTTGAATGACTCTGGCAAAGTAGAATTCAAATGCCCCAGCTCTTCAATTCATGAAGCAGTGCAGGGCCAGAGTAGCCAGACCTTTTTTTAAAAAAACAGGTCAAAACTTTGGGAGCCAAACAAAACATATCCTTGAGCTGCCAGTTTTGACTTTGTGTATAATACCCTATTTTCCTTGAGTTTAGAGAATGTTATCCAAATAAAATAGCAGAAGGATATGCAGGGAAAAACAAGGGAAGTCACTAGACATACAAACTGTAGATAGAACAGGATCCAGTAAACTGCATTAGGTATTTTGTGAAGCCTAGCCAAAACCTAGGCTCTCAAATGCTACTTCAAGGTGAGCAGTAGCTTTCCTTTGGAAAGGTTCATTTGTGGGACTCTATATAGAGATGACATTGGTTGCATCTTAAGTACACACATTTGAATAAGGGCTGGTTTGTTTCTATTAGGAATAATAAAAGCCAAAATTTACAATGGGTTTTGACCAAATTATACTGGTCTAAAAATACATCACTCTTTCTTAACAGAAACAAATACACGAGCTCAAACATCCTGGTGGGATTAAAACAAAACAGGGTATGAAAGTGAATTTTGGATATTCACTTTATCATTGTAAGTTATTTTTTCACTTCTGTCCCACAATCCTTTCTTTTGGGAATTGTCTCTAGAAATACACTATTTCTGTTGGAATTCTCAATCAAAGGGTTCTATGAGCTGCACATTCTTCAGGCTGACCAATGACAGAATCTCATCTCCTAGATGGAATCATTTGTCCAGAAGCATGCATGACTTTAGCCAGGTCAGTAAAGAGTCAGTCCTACTGCAAAGACAAGGATGCTAGGATGAAGTGGGATGGCAAGCTTTAAAAGGGACCACATAGTTCTGCCTCTATCCCCAACACACTACCAACACACATGAAGAAATCACTTCTAAGTGATAAAAAGAGAGAGAGTCCTGATAACGTCATTTGAACACAAATCCAGTGATGTCTGAGGATACTGCAAACACTGACCAATAGTTAACTTTGTAACTTGTGTTCCTGTAAATTACAATTGGGAGCCTTGATTAATGCAAGAAACATTTGTGGTTCGCATCTTTATTTTAGGAGAACGTGGATTCAAGTAAGTTAATTTCAGAAATAGGCAGCTGAATTGTATAATTGCTTCCTAACTCAACATATATTGATAATTCATATTTTATACTCTATTCATTTAAATATACTAATGCTGGCAAATAAACATTTGTCTATCCTCATTCAAGTACCATTTCAAAATATGATTTTGTTCTAATTATATCAGTAATGCCATGTTCAGTACCAAAAATTTAGAGAATATAGGAAACCATAAGGGAAAAAAAGTGAATTTTAAAAGTTAGGATTAAATTAACATGGCACACTGTGGGCCAGGCCCCACAATGGCTCATGCCTGTAATCCCAGCACTTTGGGAGGCCAAGATAGGACTGCTTGAAGCCAGGAGTTTGAGTCCAGCCTGGGCAACACAGCAAGGCCCCATCTCTACAAAATATTTTAAAAAATAAACTAACATATTAGTCAAAAGTTCCACTGTACACAGGATTGTATATTTTTGTACACATATGTTGAATTTGACAACCCATGGGAACTATTTTCACTATGAATTACAATTTAAGGTAAAAAAATTATGTTTACATGTATATGCAGTGAGTGTCTAGTAATATATTAATCTATGGCAGAATACAGAATCTTTGCATTTATCCCCTACAAAGAGTATTACAGGAACCCTGAGAGCAGGAAATACATAATGAAGAGGTTGAATCTTGAATATTAAATATGCCTAGATCATGTGAGAATGCCTTCCAGTTATATCTGAATTCAGAACACTGGTGTGGCAGGATGAACGCATGCTCACCTCTTCATTCTCGATTTTGAGCATGGCGAGGCGGGACTGCAACTGTTGGTACCTGAGCATGAGCTCTGCCTGGACTGGTTGCTGGGCACTGACCTGGCACACCTGATGGAGAATGAGAAACCACAGTTACAACGGGGCACCACAGACCCACCTCCAGAAGCACAGTTCTCCTATTTAAATGACGCACGAATCATACCAATCCTCTCAAGGTTCCAATTACATATTTACTTTTAATAGGCGCATCAAAACTTCTCTTGTAAATATGGAGCTGTTACATAAGCTGCAACAGTAGAATGCAGCTGCTTGGCCTGGCTACGACTGGAAGATGGCAGCTGCAGGAAGGACTGTGGTAAGAACGGAGCAGTTCCTGTGATGGACCTCTGATGATGAAATCTCACTCGTGGAATTCTTAATGGCTCTTGTGCAGAGGCGGAAGATGATTCATGTGGACCATACAGACATAAATTAAGAAGGCAGCAGGGCTTATTGGTTAGGGTCTGAGCTCTCGAGTCAGTCAGTTGTACTCGAATGCCAGCTCTGTCCCCTACTAGCCAGGTGACTGTGGTAAGTTACAAAACCTCAGCTTCCTAATCTGTAGAATGAGAATAATAAGAGTTCTTATAACACAGGGCTGCTGTGGGAATGAAATGAGACAATGTACAGAAGCAACTTAGATCAGCGCTTGGCACATAGTAAAAACTCAGAAAATGTGAATGACTATTTGAGCATCTTTCAAATATGGCTTCCCTAGCCACTAGCAGCCAAATTGCGTGACTCACCATGAACTTCAAGAGGCCACTTATCTTAGGTTTTGATAGAATATATTTGGCCATGATCTCAATTATGGATAAGTTCAAAATCAGAGCATTATTAAAATTGCACCAGAAACAAACAATTTCTTCTTATCTGCCTTGTTTTAGAAATGCTCTTGGCTGATGGGGGTTCCTTTTATGGAGTTTCCAAAACATTAGAGAGATTACCACTGCTCCTTAGCAGAACTGGCCATAAAAAAGGGCAACCAACTTATTTTATTAAAATAATAAAACCATTAACATCCAACTGATGTCATTTGTCTGTGATATGTTAACATGCTATGCTTAACATATCCACAGCTGAAAAATTTAAACAGCAACCATTTGTTTTTAGAAACACGGGATAAGCTACTCATCCTGCTTGTCAAAATCCACGTTCTTTTGGCTTAAAAACTGCTTACCATTTCTATCAAACACACATAAAATCCAATTAGAAATACAGCAGGTACATTATATATAAATACATACACGTATATATTTTATATGTCTTAACACTTGGTATTTCAGAAAAAACATGACATTAAAGAAATCTTTCATGATCTTATAATTACATCTATTTTGAAAAACAGACTGTCACCATAAGTTAAGACTGAGTTTTTATCTATGAGTTTTTTTTTTTTTTTTTTTTGAGACGGAGTCTTGCTCAGTCGCCCAGGCTGGAGTGCAGTGGTGCGATCTCGGCTCACTGCAAGCTCCACCTCCCAGGTTCACGCCATTCTCCTGCCTCAGCCTC